TTTTATTAAAAATTATTCAATATTATTTTTTAAATTATATAAAATTAAGAATTTTAATTAACTAATATTTAATTATTGTTTTCTGTTTTTGATTTTTTTTGTTTTCTGTTTTTGAATTTTTAAATATTTTATGAAAAGATAGTTTCAGATAACAATACAATATATATAGGAATTATCTTTTTAAAATAAAATATATTTTGATTTTGGATAACTCTTATTGTTATTGATTAAAATAAATTATCTAATAAAATAAATTAAAATTCGTTTTTATATATAATTAATTTATATAATTTATTCATTAAGGGTATAATCGATATTAACCACTCCAACTTTTAACGTGAGAGTTCCATTGCGAAAAATCACTTCGCAAATAATAGTATAGATTTCAACATTAGGAGTTTTCTTCAACACTCAAAATAAAAGTTTCACGTTACAAGTCAAACCGAGAAAGACGATTACATAGTGAACCAACCAACCATATACCGGAAATAACCGAAAAAAAAAAACAAAGAGTCTTTGTTTTGTTTTTGAGTTTAATTTTTCTCCGTTGAGATCAAAGTTAGATAGAGAGTAGTAAACACAAACCAACAACACAAAGGCATCATCAATCATCTTCATTTCAAACCTCACAAGCTTCTTCCAAGGACTCGTTGACTGGTTTAAGCCCAGTTTTACCCTTGCCTGATCTTGAACGAGGGCTGTCTTGCACATCATTGGTGTTCTTGTTCTGAACTGTTCCGGTGCTGTGTCTGTTCCTGTTAGAGACTGTCTTCGGAACCTCTTCACGGGACGATGAGCTGACTGCGTCGCTGCAGCTTTTTCTCCGAGAAAGGATGAGTTTTGGCGACTTGGGACGAGTCAAAGGAACCTAGAAAGACACATAACATAAGCGACTTTTGTCACAAGAACAAAGATACGAGATTTTGGTTCTAAGCAATACCTTCTTGAGCTCAGGTCTTGCAGGAGGCGACTCGTAGTAGAAGTTAGGGACTGGTTTAGCCTTGAACTTGAGATTCTTTCTAAGTTTTTTCAACGCTGCTTCTTGTTCTTCCTGCAAAAACATTAACTTTACCATTTAAAATCTAAAAAGGCTGCATCAACTGGTAAAAAAATATGGAAAATATGTTTTTTTTTTTTTTTTGAATAATCCGATGTATCCAGACTAGAGGCGAGTGTCCATATCAGCCTATGTTATCAGCCGGCCTCGGTCAGACTTTTTTACCTTTTGCTTTTGTTCAATCTCGTTCCTTTCGGCTTCAAGCGCTTGGTTTCTCTCCTCAAGCTTTTGGTAATACTAAACAACACAAAAAAAAAAATCATTCAGTAAACAGAACAAAGTAGACTTTAGTGATTATTTTATTTACTTACCTCTTTGCGCTGCTCAGCACGTTGAGCACTCCTAAACGTTGGAGCACTTCCATGAGTCACTCCGGACTTAGCCCTTCTCAAGGAAGTTGCCACGCTGTGAGTTAATATCGTTAAGGAACATTATCGATTTTTTTTACAAGTACATACATACATAAACAAGATAAGGATCAAGTGATAGAGACAGGTAAAAGGATACGAAGAAGCAATGGAGCAATTATCATCTTCATCTACATGCTTCCTCAGAGGAACCTCACGCTGCAGACAAAACAGGTAAAGTCACATCGTTTACACGTCTCAAATTACTTACTGAAAAGTAGTTTTTTACCTTTGAAACTTTAGGGGTTTTAGGAGAGTTTTGAGCTCCAGAAAGAGAATCATCCTTGGTGCATTCCTTGACTTCGACCTCTTCCTCAGTCTCAGACCCAGCTGGAGCTATCTTAGGAGCAACGTGAACCCTACCGCTTGAAACGTCGGCGTTTCGGTCCATAAGCACGTCAACAACTCCCATTCCACTGCTTATATATCATCCACGGAACACACAAAACAAAAAGAGTCTCTCTTTTACACAGATTCTTAAAGACAAAAAACAAAAAAATCTGAATCTTTATAAAGTTTACAGATTTGTCAAAGTTAGATCGGTGAGGAACAAGGATTGGTTCAAAGAGAGAAGAATTCATAAGTGGAAACCAACACGCATTAACAAACCCAGATGGAGAAATAGTCAAATTTTCAAAAAAAAAGAATGTAATTTTTAATGGAAATGATAGAAAAAATTCTTAAGATTTTAAGAAAGAATCAGACTTTCAAGGAAGAACAGGTTACACAAAACAGATGAAATGCTAGAAAATGCTGAAAGAGATTTTGTTCTTACGAGTCTTGTGTAGGACGTGGGGAGGGATTCTTGTGCACCACCTCTGTCTCCTCTCTCTCCGAATGCCCCGTGAGAATTTTTCAGACAAAATTTGAAATGAATGTCTTTATCCAGACCAAACTTGTCTCCCTCTCTCTCTCTCTCTCTCGAGAAAAAAAAAAAGAATTTGTTTGGGGAGGTGACTATTTTGGAGATGTGTTTGAATTGTTAAGCTCAAGCTGTTTGGTTATTTATTGGTTCAAAATTTATTTATTTTATTGTTTAAAAATGTTTTTGGCGTTTTACATCACTTTGATAATTAGCTTCATTTTCATGCCAATATTTGAAGAGATATACTCACCCTAAATGTGGATAGGTCTGCATCTTAAAATTAGTTTATTGTAATAATTAGAACCTTACTCAGTTGATTTTTTCATTTTATTTTAAAAGGTATAGTTAGTAGTATACACATTCTCTAATAGTCAATAGTCATCTTGATATAAAGGCTAAATTAATATATTATTTTTTAATTCCTTAATTTTAGTTTTATTTTTATTTTATGGATATCTAATAAAGCTGTGATCACTTGGCAAGAAAAATGAAAATGAAATTCAAACTAATCATATAATAAGTATCATGGGATATTTTTCCTTACAAAAAGAACCAAAATTCAGTTTTATATGACTAAAATGTTGTGCGTAGAATAATTGGATTTATAAGGAGATGTGTATATCGAGAACAAAATCTTAAAAAAAAATTGTCACATGGTATTTATTCAGTCTTGTGATTTGAAGGGCAGTCAACGTCAAAATAAAAGTTTTTGAATTCATCCAAAATGTTCTAAATTAGATATTACATCAATTGCTTCATATCAATCAACCTATCAGGCACATTCCACAAATTAGCTACCATCTCTAGAATACTAATTGTCGTTTGAAAAATGTGACAAGTTACTCGTTTGAAAAATGATTTATGTCCATACCTTTATTTTTTGGTAACTTGAGTAGTCCATAGACTCCATACTTTCCCTTGTTGCGCTGTTTAAATTCTGCAGCTTTGTTAAAGTGTCGAGGTTGAATGGAGCATGGTGTCTACCGTTGTGCGTCATAGACCATACAATATGTTCTTAGACTTTTAGTATACACATGTATGCGTATACATGTTCTTATAATCAAATCATTTCAATGCTCAGGATGACCAAACTTTCTTACAATATAAACTAAATGAGTTTATTTTCATCTGTTTGATATTTTTAGTAGAAAAACTATATGTTGGTACTTGGTATATTAATGATTCATTTGAATGACGCAGGACCCACGTCGCATTCGAAAAACGTAGGACCCCATGTCTCAACTCAAAATCAGATAATCCTTTGGCGGCAAAATTCATACTCGGAAAATATAAAACAAAAGACAAATCGGTCGGTTGGTCCAACAGATGGTACCGAATGAGATTTTGCCTAGGAAAATGCTAACCAGCAACGAGATTGTTCTGTGCATTGTGGATATGGACCACCTCGTTACCATTGATGCTGGAGAATAACAAACAAAGTCACTATGTATGTTTACTAATACCACCTTGTAATTTGCGTATTTGAATGCGGAATTGACAATACCGCAAATTGATCACCATTCAACATTAATACTGAAAATTGCACTCTAATAAAAATACAAAAGTAAATACGCTAATTTGAAATGATATCCATATACCATGAAAATAATTTTAACATATATTCATACAAATTTAGAATGTGATTGGATAAATTTCATCAGCAATAAAAAGCCTAAACTTTTTAATAAAGCATTTATCGAATAACTGGATTTTCTGTAGGGGTTAACCACATATTTTGAGAAAAAATTTAAAATATGAAAATTTTGTTTTAATGCATATTTTCCTCATTCACTGACATAGTATGAAGGTTAAAGATGTTTGAGACCTTAGGTGTTCATGTTTCTTCAGAAATTAGAATTTTCTTTATAGCAGGTTTGTCCATTGATTAAGTGGTATATGAAATTTAAATAAATAACCTGTTAGAATTTTTTTTAATGATGTCCATGTACAAAGAAAATAGTTTTAATAATACAAATTTAGAATGTGATTAGGTTATTTTCATCAACAATAAAGAGCCTAAAGTCTTTAATAAAACATTTATCGCAAAACTGGATTTTCTGTAGGGGTAACCCACATATTTCGAGACAATATTAAAAATATGAAAATTTGTTTTAATGCATATTTGCATCATTCACTGACATAGTATGAAGGTTAAAGATGTTTGAGACCTAGGTGTTCATGTTTCTCCAGAAATTAGAATTACCTTTATAGCATGTTTGTCCAATGATTAAGTGGTATATGAAATTTAAATAAATAAATTGTTGTAAATTTTGAAATGATGTCCATGTACCATGAAAATAATTTTAACATACATTAATACAAATTTAAAATGTGATTGGATAATTTTCATCAACAATAAAAAGTCTAAACTTTTGAATAAAACATTTATCGAATAACTGGATTTTCTGTAGGGGTTAACCCACATATTTCGAGAAAAATTTAAAAATATAAAATTTTTGTTTTAATGCATATTTGCATCATTCAATGACATAGTATGAAGGTTAAAGATGTCTGAGACCTTAGGTGTTCATGTTTCTCCAGAAATTAGAATTTTCTTTATAGGGGGTTTGTCCATTGATTAAGTGGTATATGAAATTTAAATAAATAACCTGTTGGAAAATTTGAAATGATGTCCATGTACAACGAAAATAGTTTTAACATACATTAATACAAATTTAGAATGTGATTGGATAAATTTCATCAGCAATAAAGAGCCTAAACTTTTTAATAAAACATTTATCGAATAACTGAATTTTCTGTAGGCGTTAACCACATATTTCGAGAAAAATTTAAAAGTATGAAAACTTTGTTTTAATGCATATTTGCATCATTCACTGACATAGTATGAAGGTTAAAGATGTTTGAGACCTTAGGTGTTCATGTTTCTCCAGAAATTAGAATTTTCTTTATAGAGGGTTTGTCCATTTTGATTAAGTGGTATATGAAATTTAAATATATAACCTGTTGGAAAATTTGAAATGATGCCAATGTACCATGAAAACTATCTTAACATACATTAATACAAATTTTCATCAACAATGGAGAGCCTAAACTTTTTAATAAAGCATTTATCGAAAAACTGGATTTTCTGTAGGGGTTAACCCACATATTTCGAGAAAAAATTAAAAATATGAAAATTTTATTTTATTGCATATTTTCATATTTCACTGACATAGTATGAAGGTTAAAGAGGTTTGAGACCTTAGGTGTTCATGTTTCTCCAGAAATTAGAATTTTCTCCATTGATTAAGTAGTATATGAAATTTAAATAAGTAACCTGTTGAAAAATTTGAAATGATGTCCATATACCATGAAAATAATTGTAATGATGTCCATGTACCATGAGATTTTAATGATGTCCATGTACCATGAAATGATGTCCATCTCTATGAATTTTTATTGGAGGTTTGTTCATTGTATAAGTGGTATACGAAATTTAAATAAATTACATGTTGAAAAATTTGAAATGATTCCCATGTACAATGAAAATAAGTTTAACATACATTAATACAAATTTAGAATGTTATTGGGTAATTTTCATCAACAATAAAGAACCTAAACTTATTAATAAAGCATTTATAAAATAACTGAATTTTCTGTAGGGAACCCACATATTTTGAGAAAATTTTTTAAAATATGAAAATTTTGTTTTAATGCATATTTGCATCATTCACTGACATAGTATTAAGGTTAAAGATGTTTGAGACCTTAGGTGTTCATGTTTCTCAAGTAATTAGAATTTTCTTTATAGCAGGTTTGTCCATTGATTAAGTGGTATATGAAATTTAAATAAATAACATGTTGGAAATTTTGAAATGATGTTCATGTACCATGAAAATAATTTGAACATACATTAATAAAAATTAAGAATGTGATTGGATAATTTTCATCAACAATAAAGAGCCTAAACTTTTTAATAAAACATTTATCGAAAAACTGGATTTTCTGTAGGGGTTAACCCACATATTTCGAGAAAAATTTAAAAATAGGAAAATTTTGTTTTATTGCATATTTGCATCATTCACTGACATAGTATGAAGGTTAAAAAGGTTTGACACCTTAGGTGTTCATGTTTCTCCAGAAATTAGATTTTTTTTTATAGGAGGTTTGTCCATTGGTTAAGTAGTATATGAAATTTAAATAAGTAACCTGTTGAAAAAATTGAAATGATGTCCATATACCATGAAAAGAATTTTAATGATGTCCATGTACCATGAGATTTAATTGATGTCCATATACCATGAAATGATATCCATCTCGATGAATTTTTATTGTAGGTTTGTTCATTGTATAAATGGTATACGAAATTTAAATAAATTACACGTTGAAAAATTTGAAATGATCCCCATGTACCATGAAAATAATTTTAACATACATTAATACAAATTTAGAATGTTATTGGGTAATTTTCATCAACAATAAAGAGCCTAAACGATTTAATAGAACATTTATCGAAAAACTGGATTTTGTAGGGGTTAACCCACATATTTTGAGAAAATTTTTAAAAATATGAAAATTTTGTTTTAATGAATATTTGCATCATTAAC